GCACACTTTATTTAAAACTGCTCCAAAAACTATCCTAAAATACAGGAAACCAGACAGGGCTGTCCGCTATCACCTTTAATCTTTTGTTACACCATCTCGTCACTTTGTACTTTCAATTACCGCTCCCTAAACCTTTCCCCGGAGAACAAACGCGCCTCTCCATGTGATGAATGCCCGTGTGTTTGCCTGCCCATCACCTGTCACTCGGCGGGCCCATTCTTCCTGTCACCGACCGGAGCAGCGCATATCCATTACTTCTGTCCTCTTCAACCTCTGATCGGGACGGGTCCGTGTTGCACCGTCTGAGAGAAGAAGGGACAAAGCTCCACCCCACCCCTCCTATCCCCCCATCCAAACCGGAGAACTGGGTGGACATCGATCCTCGCTCGCGACACTCTGTCCCGGGGAGGGGGTAAGCAGATACAGCCGGTTGCCTCCAACAATCATTGCGCAGTGCCCTGTGGGGACGACTGGCGGTAAATTAATAGTGGGCTTGCAGGGACTAGATATTGTTAATGTATTTGCTATTGACGGAGTGAGATAACATGAGTAGCTTCAGACTTACTTAACACAAAGCATAAATCCTCCCAAGCCGGTGAAGAAGATCATTGTGGGCAAAAGGAGGTTGGTTAAGGCGTTGAGATGACCACAATCTGAGAATATTGTGACAGAATTGAATGTGCACAATGGTAGAAGGAAAAATTTGAGATATGAACGCTAGTGGTTAATTCCTAGACTGGTTGGGGCCTTTATGTTTGAAATTTCACCTGATGTCTGGGTAGGTTTACTCTGGAATGTTATTACTCTGCAATAACATGTCCACCAGACTATAATGCTAGCTATGCTCTTGCTTGCTCTTGTTCTTTTAGCACCAATGAAGGATTGAGTCAAATTCTAAAGATGAATTATTCTACAGGGTCAATAAAGTCTATGTATGTTATTCTTTAATTCAACTACTTAATACTACTTCTTTCATCTTGATACTCATCTGTACTGTAGGTCAACCTCAGTTTCTATATTTTAACCTGTATATGCAATATATCTCTTTGACTTAGATTTAGACAGACTTTATCAGCCCACAAGGGAAATTATATACCTTATACTTGGACACAGTAGCTCACTTGCATAGTGTATACGTTAAACATAAAAAGTGGTAATACAATACGAAATAAACTGAGTGGCAAAAATAGGAAAAGACATGCAGACATTCATTCAGCAGCAAAAAAATCTATATGTAGGAGTAAAATAAAATAAAAAGTAGTACAGCATATGTTGAACACATGATCTAATCTATCTCAGCAGCACCAGCAGACACCTCAACCACTCCATCATCTTCTGCTCTTCTTCACCACCACCAGTGACAGGGACAATGAAATTCTTAGAACACATTTTCAAGTGATGACATTATAAAGTATAGTTAAAAAAAACTTTTAATCCACTTGATCCAGGATGAGAAATGTCACTGGTTACACATGCACTCTGTAAGTCGACTCTGAAGGGTGGATTTGGTAGACTTAAGTGTGCTCAGACGTGACACAAGAGCCCGCTCTGCTCCTGTCGAGACACCTTTGTGATGTAGTAGACAGTCACATACTGTCTACCAAATTAAATGAACCCAGGCATCAACTTTCAACTGCATACAAACTGTAACAGTGTTTCTACTGGAGTTTAACATTTGGGGACTGTTTTAGAAGCAGCAGCATCGCTCTCCAAAGAATCTAAAGCATTTGCTGCTATGCTATCCATGCATTTCAGTGTGTGTTCTGTAACTTACTGGTTGCACATCACCTGCATGATTCCAGAGAAATAGAAAGTTAAAACCACACTTGAAAACATTCTCTGTGGCAATAAATACGTTTTATGCTATGTGGAAGATTATACCCAAAGGATGTAAACAAGGAGGAAGAGACCCTACTCCAGGCAAAATAAAAGTCAAGTTTGTGGAGATGCAAGCCCACTCAGATTAAGGACACATTTTCTACATTTTTAAGTGCAATAAACACCACCAAAATGATTTTTGTCTATCTTTGTCTAAAATGTTACATACTGTGGCTTTAAGAATTCAAAAACAAAATATTACTATCTTTTGAGTGGGCAAATATTCCCGAAATGTCACCTATAATAGGAACTCAAAACTCATGTCACTCATGGGACACATTTTCAAATAATGTGATGCCTATATATACATATACATATACATATACATATACATACATACATATATATATGTATATGTATATATATGTGTGTGTGTGTGTATACACACACACACACACACACATATATATATATATATATATATATATATATATATATATATATATATATATATATATATATATATATATATATATATATATATATATAATCTCTCTAAAATAAAAGTACTGCACTGATCTAATTTATTCCACAATGATCCAATACATAACCCATTTTCCACAAAGGTGATGACAAAAATCACAGAACTTATTTTAACTATTCAAATCTACAGTGCCTTCTAGCCAAAAAAAAAAAAAAAACTGGGCTTGGTCCAGTGGGTGCAATTGCTGAGACACATCAGTATGGATGAAGCTATATGTTTTTATGGAAATTGAGACACAATTTACTGATATATTGCATTTATTCATTCCAGTTCACCTCATATCATTCTTTGCAGGAATATTCTTGTCGCCCACACATCTTCGTCAATGTCATGAAAAATGCTCTGGTTTCCTGTCATTGACATAAAAACACAATTCTCTCACTAGGTATGAACATGGAGTGTTGTATCCATAACCATGTCATCCATGTGTGATACTCGTCTGTGGCCTGTCCAAGAAGGCACTTGCCCTCATGACACTGTACAGGACAGAGGAGATGAATGAAGCGGTGGCTTATTGAACAGAAATTGGATAGCTGCTGGGTGGAATTACATCAGTAACACAAGAAAATGGGCCTTGCACTATGGCAACTAAAATGTGATTTTTTTAGAGGTGAAAACATGTGTCATAAGTCAGATATACACGTAACAGTTTTTAAAGTAATTCTAATTAAATGTATAGCTTTTCTCCCTGTATTATTGTTACTATTTTATGAGTTACTTCTAAGTCAGTAGAGCAGTCATACTTTTTTCAAGCTGCACTTTTGGAATTTTTTTTAAAGTGAAATTTAACAGATTGAGTTGAGTTTTACTTATTCTTGTTTTTAAACTTCATGTCTTATAATTCATCATTAGAATGAGATGATTCTTTATTAGATGTTATTAAAATATTAAAATACATAATCTGCGGCTTCTATTTTTTAGTAACCTCAAAACCCTCAGTGAAATGTTCGTTTGTGCAATCTCTCTGTTGCACTTTTTTTTAAACCCATTTTCAACTTAAACAATTTTCAGTATGTAGCCTCTTATGTTATAGTTTCAGAGGATGCTTAATAAATCTATTTTGAAATTTTTGTCTTTTTGGATGTAAATAAATGGCATGAGTCAGCTTTTGCTCAATAAAACATAGGCAAACCAGGAGTATACAAACATTTCGATTTGCATATTTTATTTTTCTCCTTTTATTATTATTATTATTATTTTCTTTTTTTCAGTACAGATGTGAAATTTGTGTATGCTTATAACGTCAGCCTGAAGGACATGACAGCACACCTCTTACCACTGGTCTTGCTATCGCACATATCACAAAAAACCCTACACGGTGAGAACGTTCCACTCCAGTGCGCGCAGAAAATCAGCTCGTCTCATAATAGCTCTGGGCAATTTCAGGCCACACAGAAAGACAAGGGAATCAATTTTCCTGGTTAGGTTATAGATGGGATTTCTTCGCCTGGCCTTTTCATAAGAAATAACTCAGATATGTTGCATGAATTATTAAGAAATCCACCGCTCTGTGACATTTAGAAACTATACACCACTTTACCCCAGTACTAATGATTACTGTTATTATCACTCAAGCACTTTCGGGGGACTTGGGGAATGTGCATTGTGTAATCTTACGTAATATTTCGCACCAGTACGTAGACACTTAGACTATCGTATGAAAAAACGAAAAGAATGATTAAAACTCTTAAATGCCAACCTAGAAAGAGAGACAATGGAATAAGTAGTACAAGCCTGACATCTACTGGACAAGATATGAAACAGCAGCTTTGACATTTCCTTGTAGGGCTATGAACTAGAACAAACAGCTTATGTTAAATGTGCACTAGTGGATTGTACAAGGAATACCTTCAAAACACAGGCCAAAATAAAATGGTGACAATGAGAAAAACGCAAGGACTGCACATGACTGGGCTCACTTAGTCCAATTAAGTCACAGTGTTTTCTGAGTAATATTCTCTACAAAACAGCCTTTATAGGTGAGGGTACAACCAGATTCTGTCACATGAACTAAAGCTCTCTCAAGTAAGGCTTTGACCTGTGGCTTGTAACAGTAGCCTACATAGTGTTTAATGATCTTAGAGCATGTTTCTTATGATTGCTGGTTTACATTACATACACCTATAGTATCCCATTACTACAGCTAGGTTCAGTAATTAAAAAAACAAAAAAACAACAAAAATAATAGGCTAACTATTATTAAGCTTATGTATAATGCCCTAGTAATACACTAATTAGAATATAGCCTTCTCTTTTAAGGCCTTTAGACTTTGCATTTCCAATTAGGCTCCAAGAGCAAACATGTTTGCATACACACTGTTGTCCAAATCACTAGACCTACATGACTTTCACCAACATAGATGAGTCTACCCAAGAGGCCTACATCAGGACTGCCAGGAAAACTATAATTTCTTCTGTTTTTCAAGCAGCGACCCGTGCTCAGAATGGCTGCCTGTACAACACTTTTATCTAGATGAAAAGCACCAGTCGGGTGGTTTGTGTGAGCGCAAACCCTGTGGAAATGTCAAGTGTTGGATGTAAATGCAATTATTCGCAGTGTCCGAGCTCACGGGGCGGAGCTCTGTTGCCATGACAATGACGTCAATGTTGGTGTCGAGTAACCAAAGGTCAAAATAAAGACAAGTGAATGAAAACGGAAGGAAACTTACCAGGCTGCTCCGAACAGGATACTACACTCCAATGTACCAAAAAGTCCGACTTTACTCACGGCTCTGGACACTCTGTCAGCACCGTAGGAAATGACCGCTTTGTCCGCTGGTAAGGACCGCCACACATCAGAAGGTTAGGGTCAGTCACGAGCTAACTGCTAGCTCTGCCAGAGAGCTAGCTAGCCCATAGCCTAGGACGTCTGCTAACACATGCTAGTGCTAACAGTTGCAGCTGTTTAATGCTTGTTTTTGCCAACCAGCGTCTCAATACAAAGTTACTTTTAGGAATTCACTGGACAAGGTGGAAATTATTCTGGGATGGGCGATGGACAGATCGTGTTTTCAGTCCGTTTAAGTGATGTTTTTCAGTGTTGCAGTCAGGATAGGACAAAGTAGCTGGCCTAACAGTGTTTGCTCTCCAGCTGTGCAACTTTTAACTACAGCACCGTTACTTGGAGACATCAGTTTTTTCGATAGCCTGTTTGTTCAGGTTTATATTTGCATAGTGTCATATGGCATACTTTTAATGTAAGCATCAAAACGCTCGATCCCTTATCAATACAGAGCTGAATGTGTAAACAAAGTTTTATTGTTGACGTAATCCATCATAGTGCGTAATTGTTGTCGCTCGTAAATCATTAGGCTTGGCAGTGGATGCGAGCGGTTGACCTTGCGGTGGAAAACGATGTTCTTTTTGTCATTGAAAGTCGACCTCATGAGCAGCCATTTAACACAGAGCTGGGCTTGTGCAGTAGAAATGAGGTCAGACCAACTTTTGTACGGTTTTATTTATTTTAATAACAATATTACACGACTGTTTGAAGCTACGATGTGTGTTACCTGCATAAGAATGGAAAGGGAATTTCAAAGACGTTTTGAATAAACATATGCTCATTTATTTGTTTGCAAGGAGTTCAGACATGTGTCATGTTGTATGATTATCTACTGATCTTTGTTGTTGTTTTCTTTCTCTTACAGAAGTAGAGTAAGAGTGTTGGTTTGCCGCAGGACATAACTGGACAAAAGCCCTTGACTCAGATCTGTAGCTGGTGGTGCGTTTCATGACCTTCTCCACATGCTGACATCACCTGGGTAAACTTGAGCAAGTGTACTTGAACAGCGGGCAGTTTGGACGCTGTAAACATCCCCGACTGGAAGCTGTCCGTCAACCGAGCTTTCAGTCTGATGTTTGCTGCTGCCGGTGTCCATAGACACGGGAAATAAAACAAAGAGCAAGATATGATTTAGGCTGACTTTTTGCATCGTTTAGAGTGTATGTATGCCATTGCCATTTTATTCAAGCTCAGACCATGTAAACATCCTACACTCAGCTGTGAGCAGATGCAGCAGAGGCTGAGAGAAGGTTGTTTACTTGTACTGGCTGGAAAAAGCAGTCATGCGTATCAAAGTTAATCCAAGACTCAATGACAAAGATAAAGAGCAATAAACAATAGATTTGTCATATGTGCAGCTGTTTCAATAAATCAATAAACAAATGTGCCTTTTTTACGCTTTCAGTATATTGCAGGATTTAAAGCAGCAGCAACAAGACAAGACATAAGGGTAAATTGAATTACCTTTATTCTCTCATTAAGGCATCAACATGAGTTTTATCAGTACATAAAATACAGTATATTAAATAGGAATAAATCATCAGCATAAAATATACATACTAACTGACTTATTTACAAGTTAGCAATAAAAAGTTGGTTACTATCAACTGCAAACCTAATATCCCTTTTTACAGGAACTGCAGTGGCAGCATCCATTGGGGTGGTGGAAATAGAGACCATTGTGTAACATTACTGGTATGACAAGAATGCACAGGCTCTTTTAGATTATGTTCCTCTGACATTCACTTTTATCAGATTTCCTGTTTCTTTTGTATGAGCGCTGCAATAGGGCAAGCTAAAAATAGAAAGACTATGGGGACTCAGAGAGCGGGACAATTTGTTCATTATTTGCCAATCAGTTAGGTTAATGGAGAGGACCCGCAGCAGTGGAGGCCATGTGTGAATAATGGGTTAAGTAGCTACTGCACCTACATCACCTGTTAACACTAACAATAAATATAATTGTTTCTAATTATGGTTAGAAGGCCATTGCAGCCAGATTACCTCGTTTCCATCAAATTTGGGATTTTAAAATTAAGATGAGATGCGACTTACTACAACTGAATATTTATACCACCAATTGTTCACTAGAGGGCGGCATTGCTTTTAAATTCGAATTGAAGTTGGCGTAGGAGGGTAAAACCACTGACTGTACAGTCCCTGACAAAAGTCTTGTCGCTTATCCATTTTGTAGAAACAAAAGCTTATAACCTGACTTTAAATTAATCGACTGGTTTTAGAAATGTCTCATGAAAGCTAAAACCCTCCCAAATTATGCTCAATATACTAAAATAAATTTGCTTCACTGAAGAAAGATTGATCATTTAATGAACACAGAAAGGTCAGATTTTGGCAAGACAAAAGTTTTGTCACCTTTTCATATGATGCACCCAGTCCTAGATTAAAGCCTCGCCTGTGATCAGTTACTGATCAGTCAACTAGTGGGTGTGTATAAAAAGAACCCCAGCACACCAGACCTTCACATCAACTGCAACTTGACCTCTGACAACATGCCTAAGATCCGCCCTGAGACCAAAGCGTTAATTATCAAGAGGCTGAAGACCAGATCCACTGCTGAGGTGGCTGACACCTTCAATGTGTCTCAGCGTCAAGTACGAAGAATAAGAAAAAGATCTGAAATGACTGGAGATGTTTTTGACAAGCCCAGGTCCGGCAGACCCCGCAAGACAACTGCTCGGGAGACCGTTTGTTGATTCGAAAATCCAAGGCCAGTCCCTTTTCCACTGCAGCAAAGCTCCACCAGGCCTGGTCACCTCAAGTCCCTGTGTCAACCAGAACAGTTTGTAGAATTCTGTCTGGAAATGGCCTCCATGGTCGAATCAGTGCACAGAAACCAGCACTAAACAAAAGGCAATTAAAAAAACGTGTGGCATTTGCCAAGGCCCACAGCCTGCTAAACAAAGACACTGGAAAAGTGGCAAAAGGTGGATTTCTCAGATGAATCCTTGGTTGAATTACATCACAGTCACCGCAAATATTGCAGGAGACCTACTGGAGCCAGCATGGATCCAAGATTCACCCAGAAAACAGTTAAGTTTGGTGGCGGAAAAATCATGGTCTGGGGTTACATCCAGTATGGGGCTGTGCCAGACATTTGCAGGGTGGAAGGCAATATCAATAGCCTAAAATATCAAGAAGTATTAGCTACCTCTTACATTCTCAACCATAAAAGGGGTCAAATTTTGCAGCAGGATGGTGCTCCATCGCATACTTCTATCTCTACATCAAAGTTTCTCAAGGCGAAGAAGATCAAGGTGCTCCAGGACTGGGCAGCCCAGTCACCAGACATGAACATCATTGAGCATGTCTGGGGTAGAATGAAAGAGGAAGCATGGAAGCAAAACCAAAGAATCTTGATAAACTCTGGGAGGCATGTAAGATGCTTTCTTTGCTATTCCTGATGACTTCATCAACAAATTGTATGAATCATTGTCGAACCGCATGGATGGTCCTTCAAGCTCATGGAAGTCATGCAAGATATTAAATATGGATCTCACAGCACCACTACTTAATTCACTGACGTTATGCAACATATTTTTGTATTTGAAGTAAATAATTTGTTAAATTTTCTGTAGGCGACAAAACTTTTGTCTTGCCAAAATCTGACCTTTCTGTGTTCATTAAATGATCAATCTTTCTTCAGTGAAGCAAATTTATTTTAGTATATTGAGCATAATTTGGGAGGGTTTTAGCTTTCATATGAGACATTTCTAAAACCAATCGATTAATTTAAAGTCAGGTTATAAGCTTTTGTTTCTACAAAATGGATAAGTGACAAGACTTTTGTCAGGGACTGTATAGAAAACACAGCCTTTTTGTGGCACAGTCTATGTTTTATATGTTCTTCTGTTGCTTTTAAAAACACCAGTCATTGGTTTGGTTAACTAAATGAGATATGGAACTATAATGTAAAAAACAAGTGTGAAATGGCAAACACAAAAAGTTCTGGCATTTCCAAATAGCAGATAAAATAACGAATTTCAGCAAAAAATGTGCTATTTTATTTTATTTTTTTAAATACTTACACTTTTCACTATAGTTTAGTTGAAAATACAGATACCTGCTCTCAAATATCAAGTTAAAGTAAAGTAGATACCTAAAAATTTTACTTTAGTTCAGTACTTTTACTTTTGTACTTGATATCTTTCCACCACTCTACTGAGGACACCTTTAAACATTTCATTTACTTATTGTAGGTCATTTGTCAGTCAAATCAGTGTTTTAACATGTCTGTGTCTCATGTTGTCTACTTAGCTAATACAAACTAACCACAAATACAATGGACAAAAAACCTCTCATGTTCTTATTTATAATGGATGCATTCAGTTAAAAGACAATGGGTTTGTAGATGACGTGACAAAAACTGTCACGCATTACTCAAGGTGCACCTGCTGCTTGGTATCACATGGCACGCATTTCCCAGTTGATGTTTTGCATGTACTTTGTATGAATGCTACTGGCAGATCAGGCAACTACAAATAAATGACAGGAGGATCACGTGTGATGAAATAATAAGAACTACTGATTCTCTGCTTTGCTAAATGGGAATGTCCAATCTGTTGTTGGTATGCATAGGCCAACTGAGATAAACTTGTAACTTCCTTTAATTTACACTATTAAAGAAAGTTTATTGAATTTCCCATTTAATAATAATGATGAATCACTCCATGTGCTTAAAGATATCGCAAGTATACAAAATATGAATTTGGAAAGATGATACTTCAAACTTATTCTGAAAAAAACAAGTTTACTTTTGCATTTATTTTCTTTGCTTCACTTAAGTTTTCTAAACATGTATGTACCTATGACAGAAAAAGCTGTCCTCCAGAGATCCCCACCTGGTGCACCCTGTCCTATAAGCTTTCTTTGTCAGACAAATCCACACATGCATGAATAATCCTTCTGCCCAACCTTTTCTACCTGTCACAACACTTATTAACAACATCCCAGACTTGGCAACCCTGAGATATACAAGTGTATATGACAGGTTAGACATTACTAAAACATTATGAAAAATCATGGAAAAAACTAAATACATGCACTCTAGAAAAGTAAAAGTCACATGAGGAAAAGTATAGCTAAAAGGCCATTATTTAACTGGCCAAAGTCAACATCTTTTGGCTTCATCGGGTCTTAGTTAGAATCATGCATTACTGTGAATCATGCCTCATTTTATTTCCTGGTTGGACATGGGTACAGTTGATATGACATGCATAAGTCTAAAGTAATTCTGTTACCTAGCAGCCATAATGTTAGCCTTAACAGTAGCTATTGTTAAGGAGAAATGACCTCCACATGCATGAATTGTTTCTCTATTTGGATGCAATTTTTTATGCTGACCTAAATGAGAGGTATTCTGTTTTACAATCCACCACAACTTCCTATATTTTTTTGTTCTTTTCATTCACTAAATTTTTCTAATAAACTGATGCAAAACTATGATATATTTTTTCACATCTTTACATATTCACTACAGGTCCTATTCCTAACAAACCAAGTAATAATTTGAAAAACATGAAAACCTGTCATATCTACATATTTAAACACAGCAGCATTGGTGTACAGTTCATACAGATACATATAAATATTCAATCAAACACATTTTGATATACAGTTGAAGTAGATAATTACATTCATAAATCAATACTTCATAAATATGCAAAAAAGAAAAGAAAAAAGGAGGTAGTCCCAAAAGGGTCTAGTACAATGGCTTCACACATTAATCAGAGTGACATTGCACAAACACAGAGTGACAGAAGACAGTTTTGTCAACTCTTTGGTATCAGTTCAGCTGCCTGTTTCACCAGCCTCTGTAAAAGGTCACTTTGTTCTGCTTTGCCAGCTCTTCGATGAGGTTGTATTCATAGGACCCAGGATGAAGACCGGTCTTTAAGTGTTTGTCTTTAAGTGGCTCCCAGTAGTGATTCCAGTTTCCATTCTTGTCTGCCCCAAAGCCAAAAACGCTCACCTGTGTGTCAGAAAAGGGTGTGTCTAATATAAAAAGCCAAAAGACACAATGCAGAATTTTTATGTACAATAATTTAGTTAGAAGTGGACAATACAGTTTGTTACATTTATTTGAGCAGCTTTTTAGAAATACAATTGTAGTACTCCTACTTGAGTAATATATTTTGCAGTCTAACAATACTCTCACTTTAATACGTTTTGGTTACTCTTCCCACTTTGAGTAAATCTATAAGTGTCAAACGCTTTATATTTACTATGTTTAATGGGAAAGATTTGTGAGTCAGATATGATTAACACAATTCCATCAACTTCAGATGTTACTTGAGTAACAGTGTTTTTACTCTCATTGGCGTAATTTCTAATACCTCCACTTCTACTTCAGGTATATATACATTTTAAATGAGTAGAATTGTTGTGTTTCTCGACACACATCTTAGAAAACCCTTATTTTCCCCACAGTGGTAAACAGGATTGTTCAGTTGTTCTGTGGAAACTCTGTTGTCATTATACAAAAAACACCTGGTTGTGCTGATGACTTCCACAAACAAGGGTGCACTCCCTGTTTTGATGCATGACTTGTATTCATTAGCATGTTACACTGGTAAGAGCAGGATGTCGTCAGATCAGATTTCAACTTTGATACAATACCCAGTGTTGGGAAGGTTACTTTTAAAATGTAATCCCCTACAGATTACACATCCCAAAATTTAGTTTGTAACGTAATCCATTAAATTACTTAAAGTGAGTAACGTAATCTGATTACTTTGGATTACTTGATATTGTCATGTTTTTTTAATCGACATGAATGTAGCAGCCACATTCTGAAAATTCTTGTTTGTTGTCTTCAAATTGTCTGAGCCCAAGTCTCTATGAATAAGCAGCTGTTTGCTGTAGAGAAACAAAGACCAGGATATCTTCATATAAGAGGTTTTGTCTGTTAAAAGACAGTAACAAGATAAACTTTTCCTTCACCAGATTAAAAATATTATTGATAGAGAAATTATTATTTATATGAGATCACCTTAAATTATGTCAACCTACTGTTAGGTGTCATGTTGTTTAGACCTGGTTTAGTCCTGATTTTTAGACCTGGTTTACTCCTGATTTTAGACCTGGTTTAGACCAGGTCTAGACCAGGTCTAGATCAGGTCTTTAGTTCTGGTTTAGTCGTGGTTTAGTCCTAGTTTAAACCTGGTTCAGTCCTGGTTTAGTCCTGGTTTAGTCCTGGATTAGTCCTGGTTTAGTCCTGGATTAGTCCTGGTTTAGTCCTGGATTAGTTCTGGTTTAGTCCTGGTGTTAATTCTGGTTTAGAGGCGCACAGGGGGAAGCGCGATTTATGCGAGAAAACACGGTCCACACGCGGCGCACGAGACGGCGGTGTCCGCGCTGTAACTACGGAAGGAGACGTGGTCCGCGGGTTCTCAGGTTGATGACGATGATGAAGGTGTTTGTGTGTGTGTTTGTGTATATGACAGTAGTGTAGATATTATGAGTCTATGCAGTTTGTTTTCACCAGTGCCAATAGCTCCTGTTTCACATTTAAGTTGTAGGCGATTTTATATTTGTTTTTTGTTTTTTTATATATATATCTCACATCGGGAGAAGAATTTCCAAGACACAAATGCGTTTTTACCAATGCACTGCTGCTTCCACTGTGTGACTGACACCGCCAACTTTAACATGACGTTTCTATCGCTTTTATTGCGCGCGTTCTGTTTGGGTTTCCGGCAATGAGTGGAATTACCGAAATAAAAAAATAAATAAATGGGATGTAGCACAAAATGTGAAAACAGGAAAATACCGCCTTGTAATCCACTTATTTCAGCAAAGTAACTGTAATCCAATTACCACTCATTGAAGCAGTAACTGTAACGGAATACAGTTACTCATAATTTGTACTCTGATTACGTAACGGCGGTACATGTAATCCGTTACTTCCCAACACTGACAATACCAGAGCCAAAGCTGGCAGTTTAGCTCCAGAAATGCAACTAAACTTCTTTTCCTGCACTTACTAAACAATATAACATAAAGAGAACTCAAATCATTTATACAAAAATAAATGAAAGCTTTGTATACTTACTCACAGAAGGAAGAATAACCAACACCCAAGGAAGTGTTGGTCATCAGATAAATATTTAAAATCTGAAGTTGCCTATTGTCTTGTCTGTATTTTTATATGGGGATTTTCCATTATCATTATGTTGTTCAATGTCATACTGTGGAACATTGCAGGCAGAGCAGTGGCGTATCCATAGAAACAAGCGGGTGACTCACCCCCATTAGACAAGTTACAGAGTACAGTTTTGGATGGTTGTTGATATAGAGACAATTTTAAAAGTAATACCTACTTCCTTTCCACAAATTGCCACTTAACCGATATAACTGTAAGTAATGATGTGATCCCACCAAACCAAGTAACAATAATAATAAAAAAAAAACATGAAAAGCTGTCATATGCTCTCTACCCCTTTTTTTTACCTGGTCACAAATATGCATGGCAAGAACCAGGGTCATGAAGCCAGTGGAAGGGTATTTCCCCGTCAGAGAAAGCCAGGATGTGTGGACATACTGCATGAATTCCGGATTGACCACCAAGACCTGTTGCAACGAGACAGTTTAAACATGTAATCGTAAAAAGGAACTACCCTATTTTCCGGACTATAGGGCGCGCTCTTAAGCCTCCAACCCCATCAAAAAACAACTGTGCGCCCTATACACGAATCCACTCGGGTGTCCCAGCACGACTTTAGTAAACTACAAAGCCGCACCACCCGCAGCGCACACAAACACGCACGGAGCAGACAGTGACCGTGCTGCCATGGTAATGCTAACACAAACTAACAAGCCAAGCGCGCACTTTACATTTACATGCCAACAGTACACATTGGACTAATTTTGACCTCTAGAGCTGCTCATAGCCTACAGTATATCTGTACCAAGACACAACAATTTTTCCCCAAATACACTGAAATTGAGTAGAGGGTGTTTAACAATAAAATCCAGAGTACTTACCAGATTCTTGTTAGCTTTGATTTTCATTTTAGTTGGTGCATACGATCTGAGAATGTGACATAAAAAATATAAAAATTGTTTTATTTGCCTTTTATAGTGAGTCGTCGGCTGTGTTGTTGTGAAATGTTCTGCATTATTCATCAGTATTTGGACTAGACTGAAGAAAAATGTTATGTTACGTTCAAGAATCTGTGTTCACGTTGCATTCACTTTCAAGAATATTTAATTTTATATTAAGCTTTGATTATGGCTCACAGTCTTTCACTTTCTGAAGCTTCTGTGAGAAAATAATTTCACTTTTGTTTGTTTATTGATTAAAATGTACAGAAATTTTTGCCAAGTCACGCTTCATCTCATAAATCATGCCAAATCAGGCATGGACAAGTTTACAAATATGGGGAGACACTACTTTTAGAAATGTATGTCTTTGTGTGTCTGTACTAACTACAGTTTCAATCTGACAAAATATATTAAAGATATAATTCATCAACTCCCTCCAAATCATGCAATTTGTTTCTACTATTTGAAGTCATATTTTTAAATTAGGCTTACCTTCCATGAAACCCAGTTGTGAGTGCCTCGGTAATCCACTGCAAGTCCATAATTTTGAATGGAAACAGAACCAAGTGAGTGTTGTTATCCAGATCCATACCACTCTCCGGATACATGGTGTGATGAGTTGTCTTGATCCCCACGTCCACCTCATAGCCTTCAGTCTTCGCGAAGTTCATTCTGTAGCAAGTCAGATGAAAACAATGATTAGTTCTGTATCTCTATAACTATACTTATATAATTTATTTAAATGTCTATATAGTAATAACTGAGTTTGATTAAGCATTAGGGTTGTCAAAAGTATACAAAATCAGATACTAATTGATACTACAACTAATATTGACAAAATACTGATTTGAAAAGAAAAAAAACATACAGAAATAGGCCAAAACAAGAGCTTTTGTTGAACAGTTTTAAAATGACCTGGTGCTTTATCAGAAAAGGACCACATCTTAATATATAGAAAGTAATATTATTTAGAGTTGAAAATACATCACTGTCAGGTTTATTCCTTAGTATTAAAATTGTGCTTGAAAGCTTGTCATGACAACAGAATTCTTTCAGCATAACATTTACCTTATTACAAAATCATGAGAATCGATTTGACGTCCATAGTTGGATCCCTTCAGATTTCCAGAGTTGCCAACAACAGCACATGTCTGACAGCGGTCCGGGTGGAGTTCACTTACATTTGGCTTGGATGGGAAAACCTTGAACAGACGAGCCTTTGCTTCATTGTATTTCTTTAAGTCACTGTTTTCAGCCTGCAAAGACTGGAAGACAGAGTGATGAGATTTAGACAAATAAAAAAATAGATGCAGATGCAAATGCTGAAGGGTTCCGGAGAGGAGAATTGCTGGGTTTTAGATGACATCACAACATTCAGTAAAAGTTAATAGATGGAGGGCAGCTAAAATGAATGTTGAATTTGTGCAGTTGTTGCAAAGATGGCAGACTCTCAAACAGCAGTAATGTAGACTGGATCTAATGGTGATATGTGAGAATACAACGATCATTAGAAATGGTAGTCCTTTCAACTGATCATCAAATCTGCTAACTGACAAAGGGGGGGGGACTGAATAATAATGACTCTGAAACATTGATTTGGTGATGGAAGCAAAACTTACCTTCCACCAGAGGAAGACGTTTTGTGTGAGATCACCATCGGGTGTTAAAAAGAGATTCACAGATTTTTTGTATCGCTGCATAAAAAAATAATTGTACTCTGTCATACATCTATCACAGCTGCATGTTTTATTAGGATTATTTCTTGACATCTCAACTTCTTCATTTATATTTCCAGTGTCTCCTTCACTTTCTCCCCATGCCTCAAAGGTAAGATTAGTAGAAGTTATTCTCCAGATAGTGGCAAGGCAAACGGTGCAAACCATGAGCACCACCACCATCTTAGATCTGCTGTTCATCTTTACCTGGAACATGCAATAAAAAATTACATGTAATTATGCCTGAATTAAATCTTACTCATGCCATTACTCTACTTACGTTGCTTACATTGTAGAGTGAATTCAGGTAATAGGAAACATCCAAAAATTTAATGAAATGTATATGCATTGTTGTGTGCTTTAGGTCTTGTTGTTAATATTATTATTTGTTTAATTAATAAAGCAAATATTTTATTTTAACTATCACTTGAAATGTCCCTCTCCCCTGAGCCGAGGGACTGTTCAGGTCAAGTGGGACACAAGTAAGGTAAAGTGGGACGATAAAAAGAACTGCAGGAAATACAAATAGGCAAATGCCTTAGCTCATGTTTCATAATTGACACTACTGTCAATTATAAGACAGGGTGACCTCTTTTTTTTTTTTTTTACTGGGCATGAAATACCCTCTAAATCAACCTAAATTGGGTAAAACTATTTTTCAGTGTTTTAAAATGTTATTTTCACTTGCATGAAATTTATTGTTCACCCTAAATACAGAAGTAATATTATTCTCAGGGCACAGTGATTCAGTGTAAACTTTAGTTCGTTTACAGATTTATAATTTATATAACTGTAGCCAGATTATCTAATTATAATCTAACTACAAACTGTAGGTGTACTAGGATAATAACTTACTTTAGCAGTAAAGGAACTGTAGGTGTACGTTCTATTTGGAGTCTATATTAATTGAATATTTTTTATTATCTGAGGATGTTAATTCCCGAAGAGCCGGCTTTGGCATTAAGTCGTGGGTAAATGGTGACATTTTCACGAAATATTGTTTTGTGGCGTTGGAAAAGCGATCTTATAAGTTACTTTAAGTACTAAAGCAACTGTAAGTGTACTTTCTATGTGCAGTCTACTTAATAATAGTTGAGTAATTTTTATTACCTGAAGAAGTAAATTCACGAAGAACTGCCTTTTGCCTTAAGTGGTAAGTAATAGTGCCACTTTCACGAGAAGAGTTTGTTAGCATTGGAAAAGCTTTTTTTTTTCTTTGCATGTCCATCACGAAATAGCCCAGAGGGAGGAAGAAACCAGGAGGAGTACGCACATGCCGCCTCCCACTTGCGTAGCGTGGTGACGTCAGGTCTAATGACAGCGCGCTCTCAACTGCGCGCTCCCAAAGTCAGAGACTAGAAACTATTCATGAGTAAACGCAACTCACGGGTTTAACCTTCCGGTATCCCCCAAAACCATAACCAAACACTGCCCATAAAATTCTTTAACTGTTTTTTTTTTTTTGTTTGTTTGTTTGTTTTTGTTTAAAGTTTACCAACTCCAGCTCTACGCAACCATACAAATAATAACCCTCCAAATACTATCTTTTTCCCCCAAATCGACGATATCTCCATGATCTCTTCTGGACAGTTTTATGCAGCCTGACATTTGACTGACATCAACACTGTAACGTGAAAATGCATTGTTATTGTTTAAGTTACGCCACAAACCGACCCCCGCTACCTTATGCGCAGAATATGCACACATATACTTAAGCTCCAATCGTTTTATTTGTTAAATATTGTTTTAACCCAAACCCATTCTGAAAGCTCTAGGTGAGCTCTAACTATCTTTTGCAACCCTTTCAGCGCCACATGCCGCTCCTCAGAATCACTCACTAGATTTGTGATTCCAGAAAACACGAAAAATGATTTGGTTCCAAAACAGAGGAAATAAATCCTAACACATGTGAATGAAGACTAACACTGGTGAAAATGCATTATTATTGTTTGCGTTATATCATAAACAGAATATACACTCCCTTATTTATGCTATTATAGCATTATTATCAAATAGAATTTTACCCAAACCCATATATATTCTTGAAGCTCTAAATGAACTGTAATTGTTTATACTCAAAACGTATTCACTTTGCACTTTTTTAACCCCTTCAATGCCATAGGATGTAATGAAAGTCTCAATTTTTGATACCAAAAAGACACAAAATTATATAGTTTTTCCAAAATGGAGAATGAAATTTTGATCACTTGGGGAGTGTTTGATGCAGTCTCACATTTAAACATCTGAACATGTTTGACACAAACAATGGTGAAAATGCATTGTTATGGTTTAAGTAATGTCATAAACTGTCATTTTTAGCCAAACCCATATATATTCTGGAAGATCTGGGTGAGTTCTGTTTATATGCCTGATAAACAGCATGAGTGAATGTGGATGTTTCATACCAACATTGTTGAACATGCTTCATGTATTATTTAAGTTATGTCAAAAAATGACATCTGCCATACTGTGACCAATATATGTACACCTATGTATGCTAATATTTCCTTCTTATGAAGTACATATTTTATCCCAACTCTTACATTTTCTTGAAGGTCTTTGAAAGTCCTTAATAATAAATACTTATTATTTTGTATTTATTTAACCCTTTCAAAGCCATATTTTGGTCAAAGTGAGTGAAAGCTTGAATGAGTAGTTAGTCCATTTCTTTATTATGCCACTGGTCACTTGTTGGTCACGTGTTGTGATGATTTAAGATGTCCAGAGATGTTCTGCTTTAGTCTTGCTCCTCCTCAGGTGTAAATGGTTGAGGCCAATATGTCCAATAGGTCATCTACATCTCACTTCCACAGTGTGGATCGTGTGGAAACTGTTGAATACTTTATCTTCCAAGTCCTTCATTTAAAAAAAAACAATACACAACAATAGCAATAACAACAACAACAACAACAAAACATGGTAGAGGACACTGCAATACCAAGTGATGGTAATATCAGGAAAAAGGAACACGAAAAACTAGAGAAATACCAGGGGCTCAAGGAGGAGCTGGAGAGAGGCATCAGTGGTGCCCCTAGTGATCGGAGCACTCGGGGCTGTAACTCTCAAACTGGAAGAGTGATTACAGCAGATCCCAGGAAAAACAACAGACATCTCAGTCCAGAAAAGTGCAGTACTAGGAACAGTAAATATACTGAGCAGAACTGTCAACCTCCCAGGCCTCTGGTAAAGGACCTGAGCTGGATGAGGGTGAGAGAGACCAACCACTGTGGAAGGTGAGGAACACACACAGTTTTTCAGTAACACACACAATCACTCAAATCAAACATCTAAATGGGACCATATAATATTAAATGTTCATAGTGATCACAGGCTGCTGAATATGGGTTGTTTAAATCCATTACACTTCTCTCATGAACCAGACCCCCACTGTAAATGAAAATGATGTCTAATAATTTCAACAAGCATTTCAAGAATATTTAAAATTTGGTTTGATTGTGTTTATTTTACTTAATTTTACATTTGTCTTTTTTTAATTATATTTGTGGCGATAATCTAAAGAGCTCCAAAGAGTCGCAAGCCAATAACAAGTGGGGATGTGGCATGACATTATATGCAAAGTATGGAAATGACGAGGGAAAACCTTATAATATAGTTAAAAGCTAAAAGTTGACTTTGCATAATATGGGTAATTTGAGTTGTTATAGTCTTCCAAGGGAGAAATGTTGTAATTTCAATCATGTAACCATCATCAAAAGACATCTCAGGCAGTTAATTATGAATTTGTCACCAGACACCCCAAGCAGAAAAATCCAGTGGGACAGTGAAGTGATACTGTTTTTTCCTGTTGTTTATGCCCCTTTAAAAGTAGTAGCTGTGGTTTACCTCAAGAGTTGCATTTCTGAAATTCTGGCCATAAAAAACAAACAAACAAACAAAAAAAATTTACATAAAAAAACAACAAAAAAAACAAAAAAACCTCATATGATTTAACATGATGTCTTATTTCATTTAGTTCGATGTCCAGGCAAAGTGCTGACATCTGTTGTTTGTATACAGAGCTGAGCAGGAGGAGAAAGACGAAGCCATATCTTTTCTGGACATTAAAATCCACCACATCGCAGACAGCAGCATCAAAATTACTGTATACCGGAAACCTACACACACCGACCAATATCTGCTCTGGACATCCGAACATCCCACTGCACACAAACTTTCAGTAGTAAGAACATTATTCGAATGGGCCACTTTCATCACAGACCACACCGACAGGGAGGAGGAGGAGAGACACATCACACAAGCACTCAAACAATGTCAATACCCCAGCTGGGCCATAAACAAAGGCAGACAACAAGTTATCAATAAAACCAACAAACAACACGAAAACCTAAAATCCGCCATATCAGAGCACTGTAAAAAGAACAACCACATTATGGATTGGGACGGGGCTCGGGTCATTGGATCGGAAAACAACAAGTTCAAATGCTGGATCAAGGAGGCCACTGAAATCAGAAGACGAGGCACAGACAGCATTAACCGTGATGACGGAGCGTTCCTCCTTTCACACACCTGGGACACCCTCCTCCAGAGAACACCGGGCGACGGGAGGCGTGGTCAGTCTGAGCGACCTGCCAGGTCCATCAGGCTGACCACGCCTACAGGAAGTAACAACAGCTGATATACGACATGTCACCCCCAACACAAGTGACAGTTCTGAAGATGGCTTGCAGCTAGCAGCCGAAACATGTCAACAAGGTAAATACACTTTACTGCATTGTCTTTAAAAAGAACCTAAGAAGTTAAAGTATATAAGAAGACAAAATGAACATCATTGGCTTAGTGACAAGTACAGTATGACTTAACCCTTATATTGTGTTAGGGTCAAAATTTACCCGTTTTCAAGTTTAGGTATGTAAAAACTGCCATTTGCTTTTTTGTACCGGAATGAGGCTTCATCTAATCCTCAGACACAACTATTTTAACGCAACAAAATCAGTTTTCACTATTTTAGTAAATTGTAAAGGTCTGAAAAAAAAAAAGTGACATCTGTGGTGTTACGGGTCAAAAATGACCCGGCAGAGAATAGTGGCTGTTTTATGCATCACTTACAAGCTGTAGGCTGCTCTGTGGATCAAATATGGCTCAGTGTGTCCCACAACACACACACACACACGCACACACACACACACACACACACACACACACACACACACACACAAAGGTCGTCTTCACCCACGTGAACTCTTCTCTTTCTTGCAGCACATTGATACATTTTGAATCTAAAATAAACATTGTCATATATAAACAGGGTTTTAGTGAGATATTATCAGCTGTATCTGTTGCAGCATCAGTCAGCACGAGCAGGTTCACTGTTTATGAGGCGCTGGATCAGATTTTTGGTCATGACAGTGATTCTGAAGACAGAGGAAAGTGAAGCTGAGGAAGATGTATCTGAGGATGAGGATGAGGGCACAGACTGAATAAAAGAAGTGGACTAAGTGAGTGTGACGTCACCCACAGCGTTTGGCGCCGCTCAAATGAAGCTCACAGTTACAGGAGCGAATCTAGAGCCAGGTTATATGTTATGAATAGGATTTTTTGGACGGACAAAACAGTCAAAAAAAAAAAAAAATCAGGATCATGTGTCGCAGGTTAATACGTATATTTTAAGACCAAAATGACGAGGTTCACAGCAGCAGGTACAGAGAGAAGGACGACAAGATCCTAACATAAGTCAGTTGGAGCCAGAGTCAGAAGGAGTCGGAAGAGCCTCCTGGAGAACTTTCTATTTGGAACGCGGTGGCTACAGCGTTAGTTATGTCCATTCATATATACGTCTGTGGATGAGGATGAGGTTCAGTATGACCCTGAAAAAGAGCACACATGTGGTGAGGAGAACCCAGATGTCACAAAGACTGAAAGAGACGTCTTCAAGTCAAGAAAAAGTGACAGTTCATGGTCACCAAGCCTCTTGACACCCAATATAATTATACTTATATAAATTAGATTTATATTATACGTATTATATATAAAATTATTATGATTATAGTATAATTATATAATATAATTACAAATTTTATCACTATAGGAAATATAATTAGTGAATTTAAGCAGTTTTTGTAATCAAAAACGAGTGGTATATTTTAAGATAAAAGGTCTGTGCAGCCAAAAAATAATAAAAAATAAAAATGTTTCCATAGACATGAACACATACTAAGTTAGTTATGAGGGGAAAAACAATATTGGATGATATCTAGTGTTTTTAAGTATTTTCAGGCT